ACACACACACACACACACACACACACACAGTTCTTGTTAGTTTACATGTTTTATATTGAAAAAAACTGATTTGGAAAAATGTTTCTGAATTTTTTATTTTGTAGTTATGTTATTTTTATGACATATTTTCCTTTTGATCTTTAAAAAAACACAAAATTTCGACATCATGTTTTTGTTTGGTCTGATGATGTCATTTTTAAGTATTAAATGATTGATGTGTTGTTCAGTTACTCAGTACTTGAGTAGYCTTTTTAGGAAACACTTCTTCACTACTTGAGTTATGTCTTGGATGGCTATTTTTTACTTTTACTTGAGTAACAATATATCTACTTGGGCACTCTACCCACTTCAGCTTGTTGCACATTAGGAACTAAATTCAGTCTATTTTCATGCAATCAGAAAAACACTGAACAACAACAAGAACAACAACGTCCGTTCATCAAGTCTGAACTAAAAATCAATACAATACCAGGAAATGAAATGTAGTGATATTTGAGTGTAATGATATTTTCTTACATATAGTACCGATGAAGACTAAATTGTATTATGAACTAACTTATTGGTATAACACATAGGATGAGTACCCAGTAAGTACCCAGTAAATTAAAGAAACATACCAGGAGTGTACTGTGCTGTATGATGAGTTACTACCAAAGAATTGTTGCTTCTAAAATATGGATTTAGTGGTTTCACCTGAAGGCACTTCTTATCTGTACATTTAAATTTGTAGACTTTAATATTGTTATTTGTACTTAATGTGGTCTTTACCAGGATGATGAAGTGCTCCAGGGAGGAAGTTGTAAAAAAAAAACAGTTCCCAACCACTTGTCAAAATCAAACAAAAAACATTAAAAAGAAAAAAAAAAGTAGGTCCTCTGGATGGGTTCTTCTTTAGTGAAACGTTTCGTCTCTCCTCCAAGAGACTTCTTCAGTCTGAGAGTTTCAGGTGAACTCAGCCTTAAAAGCACTGCCTCCACATGGTGGACAAACAGGTTAGTCATATGCAAAAGAGGGTCATCGCCTAACAATAGGCTTGATTAGYTCTATTGTTCATAGAGGGTGTGTCCCATCACCTGACTTATTGGTTTGGATGCTGTGGTTCTTAGGTGTCGTGTCATGTGTGTGTAGTGAATGCAGGCGGGGCTCAACGTCCCCTTGTTTTTGTCCATGTGGAGGCAGTGCTTATAAGGCTGAGTTCACCTGAAACTCMTCAGACTGAAGAAGTCTCTTGGAGGAGAGACGAAACGTTTCACTAAAGAAGAACCCATCCAGAGGACCTACTTTTTTTCTTTTTGATTTTTTTCTTCCTGGATTACTGAGATGCATCAGGACAAACAAAAAACACATTTAATCAGTAAAGTGCGAAGTCAGACTTGAAGTTTTTTCACTCACTGGTCAGCCACCGGCGGACTCTCGGTCTCCTCCAGAAGCTGATGCTCGTCTTCTTTGTTGAAAAGAGCTGAGAGTTTGTTCCAGCTTTTAGTCCCGGCCCCCTGCATCTTCAAAACCCCAAAAACACAGGGTCAGAGGTCAAACCGGGTTTTAAGCCTAGTGGTTGGTTTTCACACTTTAAGAAGGTGAAGTGTTAAATATTATATCGTCAAATCTGTCCTGTGGTTTTGTTCCATGCTGAAAATATTGTGTGATACGTTTGGAAGTGTTAAAAGGTGTCGACATACTTTTTTGGCCAGTTGGCTCACAGAGTTGGGTCCTTCATAATCCTGCATTGGACTCATGTCAACCTCCCCTTCTGTGACCTGCAACAGCAGCAAAACAAACACGATTGCGTTTTTTTTTTTGTCCCAGTTTAAGACAACTTCAAGGGATTTCTGCACAAATGTCGACACTCTGTGTTTAGAGTGTGTTACTACAAGCTGTAAGAATCCCGGAAGCAGAAGTTGTGCTCTTCTACAGTCGACAATAAGACTATTTTTAGACCAAAATGGTGTAACCTTATTACTATCATTCTGTCTCTCTTAATAAAAGCTTGCACAATAACATCAGTTTGAGCTTAAATATAAAAAATACAACAGATTTAATTTGTTTCATAGTCAACGTGAGCAAAATCATTTCAACAGGAAATTTCTCTCCAAACATGCATTTTTTTTGTTTAGTTTTTTTGCAGCATTGCTTCCTTTTCTAGTGAGAAGGTTGCAGAAGTCAGCTGGTTGATCTAAACACGCCCCGAAGAGTTAATCTATCTGTCTCATGCCCTGTCTGTCAGTCACTGCAAGGCCAACTAATCTGTTTGCTCAGCTCCTGTGCGGGATCGAATTTCTCAGCTCTGCAGAGATCTAGGTCAACACTACGCTGTCGGTTTCCTCGATACCAGTTCCTACAAAAAAWAGCAACAATAAGCAGAACTCCATAACAAATTAAAGAAAGCCAGGTGCGTTGTTGCACTGAACATGGTATCGCAATGTGAATCGTGGTGCAGCTGAACTGACATTACTGACTAAACGAATGGCAGTTTTGGACAGACCAAGGGTTCGACTTCTGCAAAGCATCACGGAATGAGCTGGTCGGATTAGACGTTTAAAAAAAGAGGAAAGGAAATGCAACGTTTCCATTCTTGCGCAGAACTGTTGGGTTCCTCCTGACCTCACACTTCAATGAACATAAGCTCGAACCGAGGAGTGACTCATTTACAAACGTGTTCTCTGAAAGGTTAGGGAGCAGCAACATGAGAGACTTGAAGTGCAAGAACTGCATACGAGTCATCTCTGAACTTCTGATGATAAAAGTCAGCCATAAGAGCGTTCGACCTTACAGTCAATAATCTGACTCATCAGAATCGAAAAGACGTTTAAGGAGGAAGAAATGAGTCCAACTTAAAGCTTTCAGGTTGATCTCAAGTAGCCGCACCGAAGAAATTAGCAAAAATATCTGACTCTACTGCCAAGAAACAAACATTTTTCACACTTGATGATCAGTTCCATAGAAGATTGGGAAAAAAGGGGGTTAACTGTGTACCTCCTCAGTAGTGTCCTCCTCATACTCAGGGTTTAGAGTCTTCATCACTTTGCTTTTATAAACCTTCCACATGGGATTCATGTTTGCACCAGCAGATGCTAAACGCTCAATCTGCAAAAAAAAAAAWAAAAAAAGCGTCCTTTACTTCACGGGCCCTTCCTTCCACCAGGTCTCCAGTTCCAGCTGAAGCTCAGTTGGGCCTCGGCAGACCTGCTTCCATGTGAGACCCTCTCAGCGGACGATGGGTACCCGGACTGTGCTCAGAACCGAGGCCGGAACTCGTTCATAACTCCTTCTCCTGACCAGACCGTGTCGGCTTCATCAAGTGGAGTTAGCAGCTCAGAGTGCAGGTGATGCTGGGACGTTGTGCGGCTCGTGCACACCGGCACACACACACACACACACACACACTCACTCACATTTGTCACAGTTCATAATACCAGCCTCGGTTACTTGGAAACAGGTGTAGGTTTCCTCATCTATATTTTAGAGGCTCTTTTTTCCAGAGCCAGAGGTTCATTGTGTGCCAGCTTTGGTAGGTTGGCTCCTGTGACTCTGAGGCTCACACGGCTGCACAAACACTCTCCTGACATGTCCGTGTTGGGAAAAAGAGAGTTTGAAAATGTTCTTTTCATAATCTGAGGATAGCATCCTCTTCCTTTAAAGACATGAAACACAAACCAAACAAGTTCTCTCCAGGGTTTGTTTTATTCATTAGACAATCGGCTCCACGTTGTTTATTTCTGGTAACATCCCTTTGGTCACTTCTACACCCTTCATCCTCCTCTCCATCCTCATTGGCTGCTGCAGCACATCACAAAACACTGATGAAGTTCAGGTGCGCTGGCAGGTTGTTCGTGACAKCATGATACCTGCGAGGCTGGTCTGGTGTTGGGTGGATGAAGAGAAACGTACGAAGCTCTGATGACTGATTGGGTTTCACCAACATGCCACTACAGCATGCAGTCCGGTTCTGGTTGAACAACAATTATTGATTTTTATTACCAAAACCAAGTCAGGTGGAGTGATACTTTTTAATGCCACCAACTGTGGGGTGCCATTTGTAAAGTTACACAGTCAAAAATTACCACCAATATTTTTGTTTTATTTTGCCTTT